TAGAAATGTGCAATCTCTTTGTCCAGTTCCTTCTCTCTAACGACCACAAAGACAGCATGGAAGAGGCAATGATGTGTTTGTACGGAAACATGTTTATGATTGATTCTCTCCTGGAGGACACTTCCTGTGGGTGTCGAGTGACAGAGCTGAATCTGAGCTAAATGTGAAGCAGCACAGACATGAAAACATTCAAACCAGGCCACATCAAATGATGCTGGAGGAGAAGCTGGCAGAATCAGGATGAAGGTTTAATGTTTACTGCAGCACATATAGACACTTCTTCTAGACACTATTGTTCTAAGCATTAGTGAGCTAAAAATATACACACTGTGCCTTTAAGGTGGTGCTACAAAGTTGATGCTGCCATTGAAAGCAGTTTATCATCTTGAGAACAAAAATGTGTGTCGTTGTGATTAGTGTTCATGTTTGGTCTAATACAAGCACAGAATGAAAGTAAGAGGTGAAAGGCTAAGAGCTGGGTTTTGTCCACAACCTCACAATTTAATTTGATTTCAATTATTTGGGTCACGATTTGATTATTGATCAATATGCTTCGATATGGATTTAATAATACACACAGCTGACAGTAATACCCAGACAACTCATCATAGTACCTTCTGATATTGTGTGTATAGGGATAGAACAAACTGACTCAATCAGTGATCAGTGACGTGGATCACGCTGTCAGTCCGATATCAGATACGTAAATTACTTCAATATCGGACCCGATAACGATATTAGATCGGATCAGTCCCATCTCTAGTTTGAATTTCAGCCCATATATAAAAAACCTGATAAAAATAGACGATAACTGAGAGCTGACTGGTGTGAAACCCTCTAGGAATGATAGTCAGGCGGCTTAGCAAAATTAAACCGCCATCTTGATGAAGTGGCTCCCCCCCACAAATTGAAAGTTATGGTGATGGGGACTATGTGGAAAAAATGTGGTGCTTTTGTCAGGCGTGTGCCCATTCTTCCCAAATCTGGTCCTAAGCCGCCTGACTATGATAACTAAAGTCAAATCAAGTTCTTTAATGATGTGTTGAAAGCCTGACTTCTCATAGCTAATGTGAGTCAGACATGAAGGAAAGTCAAACATCAAGGTCACAGGTTTGACCTCTGCAGCTGTTAACAGCTGTGTCACAGAGCGAGACACTCTAGAGCTAAAAGCTTTACATGTAGTGCAGAAGACGGCTGAATAATGGGGCGAGTCATTGGGCTAAATTAGATCTGTATTGTTCAGAGACAGGGTGTCAACGCTACATCTGCCCCCTCACTGCCTTCACAGAGCGTTTTCTACACCAACAGGACTCATTCAGCATGCAGAGTGTATGTGCTGCAAATCAGGATGTCGAGAAGTGTGTGCCTGTTGCAATCACATGGAAGAGTAGCGCCTTTGCATTTTTAATGTCCATCATAAATAGCCGTGTGTGTGTGTGTGTGTGTGTGTGTGTGTGTGTTAAAACAGGGATTTCAGTGTGTGTGTGTGTGTGTGTGTGTGTGTGCGTGCGTGTGTGTGTGTGTGCATGTGTGTGTGTGTGTGTGTGTTAAAACAGTAGTATCAGTGTGTGTGCTGACATGCATGTTAGTGTGCTATATGTTTGTTATTTAGCTCCGTTAATGTGACATGATTCAGCTGGAACAGACCCACGTGCACAGGGGAGAGGATATATCCTCGCTCTGCAGGCGAGGACGCGACAAAATTACAGCCCAGCACGAGACGACAGATGTCATTAGTCGGCACATGAGCAGCCGAAGGAAACAACTCAGGTAGTCCAAACAGTGGCATGAAGAGACAGAGACAGAAATAAAGGTGAGGTAGACAGATACATGGAAATAAGCATGTGTAGAAAAAGTCCAATAAGTTTAATAATGGGCGGCTCATGTCATTTGGAATAGGAGATAGTTTAGAAATGTTTACAACATGTACACTTCATAGAAAGGCTCACGACTGTTGTTTGTCATTGTAGATGTAGTGATAGGGGGATTCCAGCGTTTTAAGACCTTGGTTCTATTTTTAATGCTTTTGGCTCTTGTTGACTTAAAGGAGTGAATAGCTTTAAAATAGTTAAAGTAAATCTCTTCAGTCAGCAGGCTTGAGTCAGGCTGCAATGGCTGCCATATAATCCTTGAAATGCACCCGATCAGATTATGTGGAATAAAATACCTTTTTTTTTGTTGCAAACATGTAAAGGCAGGTTGCACACTACAAGTTAATCGGGCCAATCTTAGGACTGGTTCACTTTCCAACAAAACTTACAAAGTCACAATTTTATTTGACGGTTCAACAGATTATCTCGACAGATGTTCATGTGGTTTGAGTAGTTTAACCTCCAGAATACAGACAGCGGTGGTGTATCGCTGTCCTTATTTCTTAGTAGTTATTGTGTTTTGGTGGAACCCAGGATGCTTTAAAAGAGTTTTAAAAGCCAGATGTTCCATGATGAATGAGTGCACATCAGGAAGTCAATGTGGTCCAGGCGTTAGATGGTAACCCCACAGTGATGCAAAGATACTGGAACATGGTCAGTGTTATTAAACCTGCAGAGTGATGCTGAGTAACCTCGTCAAACTCATTTTACAACATTGTTCCTTTGAAACTGTGTGAGTGAATCAGCAGGTGACTTAGAGGACATTAAAGAGATGTATAATACGCAGAGAGAGTGAATGCTAACAGCAGCAGAGTGAGTGCACACACAGTTCAGGTGCGGGGCGACCCAAATAGTGGCAGTGATATATTTTGAGTGTGTGAGTCATGCAATCTGAAAACAAGGCAAGGTGTGAAATAACTTCTTTAGAGCTCAGTAGGCAGAGCGCACCAGTGGACGGATTGTGGGAGGAAGGTGGAGAAGGAGCGTAGTATGGAAAGCTGCTCCGTCTCGGAGGAAGCCGTGGATGTTTGCAAATTCTGTCCAAGTTTCTTCCAGGGCAGCAGAAAGGCTGGATGTGAGCTCTGCTCCCGACAGGTGGCTCGATGAACACTTTGCAAAAAAAGCAGACCCAAACAAAACAAGATGTGTTTAGCAAGAGTAAATACAATCTGTTTGTGAGTCATCAGCTAATAGTTGGTAGATTCAACTGCAGTTTATAAACATGCTTTCATTATGCCAACCAAAGATCAGGACCCTCAATTTCTGTTAAACAGCTTATTTTTGGATTTAGATCTGAAGCATACATGAAAAGGCTTTGTATCAAAAGCAATCTCTTAATGCTGTAATGCATGTTTCTGTCATAGCTTTAAAACGTTTCATGCTGTTTTCTTACTGCAGCTTTCTTTTCCAAATCCCTTTCTTCATTTTGTTTCTGGTAACGTTTAACAAATCAAATATTCCATGACGTCCCCCTGCCTCTTCCTGATTGCCTTGTTGAGTATATTGCATCCTATATTCCTGTGTGGAAAGGGTTACCAAACAGCACCCAAGAGGACTATTTAGGGGTCTCCGTCTCTATCTCACTTTGACTTTCGGACTCAAGGAGGGACGAGTGAGAAAAGATGGTTTTCATTCTGAGCCAATTTAATGTGGTAACAGTGTGTTGTGTTCTATATTGAGACACAAAAATAGATTAAGACAGTGTTGCAGATGACAGAATGGTGCTGGCAGTGTGTTCTGCAAAAGAGCATCATTACTTTGATTCAAAAAGTTTGAGTAAACTTTCACAGCTGCAAGAAACTGAACTCCATCACTGTTGGGGACCCAGACCTTGAAAGCATCAAATTGTGTGGAAACAGAATTGGGATTCAAAATGTTCTATCCATATCTGCTTCCATCTCTGCCCTTGATTCCTAATCTGGCTGGAAAACAAGCATCTGGGTCTGACCTGGGAAGGAAAAAGCAAGAGAGCTTGAAGAAAAAAAGAAAGTTAAACAAAACGTGATTGGAACCAAAGTAAAGACTTGACTATATACATGCAAAAAAACATACAGTGGTGATTCTAGAGTCTGGTGGTGCCCTAGGGTAAAATAATTCTGGGGGCCCTCAAACCAGCGTTCATCACCATTATGTCTGCCAGTTTCCCAACGCTTACTCCTCTTCCTCTTTTTTTTCCTCTTTCTTTTTTCTCTCCTAATGATGTATACTTCCTCTTCATTTTTCTTTGTTTACTTTCACTGACAAGCTTTGGTTTTCACTGCAACAATGCATGCAATGCTTAGCAGGGCAATAAGAGTAGGTGCTGTCAGATGGGGCCCCTTAGGGAGGTTTCCTACTGTCAACGCAAAATTTGCACATTTTGGGCCACTGCTTTGGTGTGAGCCCTCAGGGGCCCCCTACTGGTCGTGGGCCGCAAGCAGTTGACGGCCATGCCGGTTGACAAGAAGTGCCTCTGAGTACATATACATTTTTATAACAAGAAATACCCGTGTTTGTGCGGCTCTGGTTCGAGTCCCACCTATGTCCCATTTCCCGCATGTCAATCCCCACTCTCTCTCTCTCTCTCTCTCCCTGATTTCCGACTCTATCCACTGTCCTATCTTTCCATTAAAGGCACAAAAAGCTCAAAAATATATCTTTAAAGCAGTCTGGGGGCCCAAATAGACAGGACTGTTGCCTGAATTGCAAAAGCACAAAATAAATACAACAAGAATAAATACTCTCTTCCAATCTCTCTTGATTCTGAATGTGTACTTGGTTGCTTGGTTAGACCAATTTCCTCTTGGCACAACTGCTTACTGTCAGACGTATCAGCGGCGGTAAATGAAATCTGACTGCATCTACATTCCCGTGTTACAATCCCACCAAGAGCGAAGGGGAAGTGTTTGTTTATTTGTTGTTCTTGATAATAGATTGCTCCTCTCTCTGGAGTCCAAGTCCAGATTGAGGCAAGTTAATTTAACTTGTCTGAGTTCATTCTCCTTCTCAAGAGCAAATACATTGATTGATCTTGGTGTACACGATTTTCCGGGCCATCATTGTGCATGTCAACATTCAAACTGTTAAAAAAAAGAAAATGTAATTTATAAAATGATAACTTATCTCTGTTTCTCTCTTCCTCTCTTGTAGTTCATTGCCTTTGCATCTTTGTTCTTCATCCTGGTCTCCATCACCACCTTCTGTCTGGAGACTCATGAGGCTTTTAACACCATCATCAACAAGACTGAACTTGTGCGGAACAGCAGCGTGCCGGATTCAGGCCCGCAGTACGAGATCGAAACTGACCCTGCGCTCACGTACGTGGAGGGCGTGTGTGTTTTCTGGTTCACCATCGAGTTCCTGGTGCGCGTGACCTTCTGCCCGGTCAAGTTGGAGTTTGTTAAGAGTGTTCTCAACATCATCGACTTTGTGGCCATCCTGCCTTTCTACCTGGAGGTAGGGCTGAGTGGCCTTTCTTCAAAGGCTGCCAAGGATGTGTTGGGTTTCCTCAGGGTGGTGCGCTTTGTTCGTATCCTGCGTATCTTTAAGCTAACGCGTCATTTTGTGGGGCTCAGGGTGTTGGGCCACACATTACGTGCCAGCACCAATGAATTCCTGCTGCTCATCATCTTTCTGGCGTTGGGAGTGTTAATTTTTGCAACCATGATCTACTACGCCGAACGAATTGGTGCTAAGCCAAATGACCCCACTGCTAGCCTCCACACCAAGTTCAAGAACATCCCCATTGGCTTCTGGTGGGCTGTAGTGACCATGACAACACTGGGCTATGGTGACATGTATCCACAGACCTGGTCGGGCATGGTTGTGGGCGCGTTGTGCGCCTTGGCAGGTGTGCTGACGATAGCCATGCCTGTGCCTGTTATTGTCAATAACTTTGGGATGTACTACTCTCTGGCCATGGCCAAGCAGAAGCTGCCCAAGAAGAGGAAGAAACACATCCCTCAAGTGGTGCAGGGAGGCTCCCCTTCCTACTGCAAAGCTGATCTAAACACCACCTGCAACAGCACTCAAGGGGACCTTTGTCACGTCAAAGGGACCAGGGTACTAGAACGCAATCGCTCAGGTAAGAATGTACAATTTCTATTTTCCTTCTATGTGGCACCAAATCACAAAAAAACAATCACATGGCACCTTACAAAAAGAACAGGTGTAGACAGTACTTACTGTAAAATTGTGACCATATTTGGAAGACAAGGTGGACGCTTTGCTACAACAGAGTGCCACAGTGGTAGCAAACAAGTCACAACATCCGATGTCAAAAAACAAGCTCAATGCGAAAGTTCAGAAGAGTGCAGTTAGTTGAATGTCCTTTTGAGGCTGGCTTCAAAAACCATGGAATCACCTTTAGGTCACGTCTTAAAATGCCCATTTTTACAGCAGAAGTAAACATGTTTACAGCTTGGTTCAAAAAATGAATTTGGGGAGCAAAATAAGGGGCTTGGCTGAGTTGACTGACAGGTGCACACGTTGTAAGTTTTCACCAGGAGGCTTAAGGCATGAGCTCCACCACTTTGCCTGTTTCTAGATTGATCCATAGTTGGGTTGAGGTAGCATTTCCTATATGGCGACCGCCATCGTTGGGCTGCACAAGGCCACATCAGAAACTAAATGGTACTGAGACTATGTCCATGTTTTATACAGTCTATGCATTTATTATCTAATGACTCCACATGGAATCATAATTTACTAAATGAACCGTATCCTGTGTAGAAGAAGATTTTAATATACTGAGACCATGAACTCATCAGGTAGATGTAAAATGTATTATCATAAATCCACTGAGAGGTAGGGTCCCTCTTCTATCTGGTTTTGTACAATCTTCTTTTTGCAGCAGCTGGAGAAGCCCCCTGCTGGCCATTAAATAAAGGTTGAAGGGACTTCTGCACTTTGGAAACCAAGCGCCTAAGTCCCCTTATTATTTATCATATGGAAGTGAAAGGGATGAGAATCCATAAGGGACCCCATCTCATTTAGAAAACAGTGTGCATTTGTCAGATTACCCACTCACACGTGGAATATTTTTCCCCTTGAGACTCTGCAGCTCCACCACTGAAGCTCTTTTGCCTCTCAGCCTTGGTCTCTGGTTGCCACAGTGAAATGCAGAAAGAGTGTTAAGGGAGGGAGATGGTGGTGTGAAATAGCCCATGCTGATAAGAATTCAGTCATGTGTAGAGATTGTTGTTTGGACTGTATGTGGCTGTTTTTTTCCCTCTTGGCCCATGTTAGTAATTTACTCTTTACACATCTGATATTGATGGAAACTTGTGTTGACCCCCGTAGACTGACATCCTTTGAATTGTAGAGCAGACGTTCCTGAGGGTAGATGTGCACTCATCACAGACTATTTGTTTACGAGGTCTCAGAGTTTTACATCTAATAAAGATAGAATAATTCATGCCTGAACCAAGTGCACACACAGAATTGTCATCTCTGTGATTTCCTTAGAGATCATTTAAAATATACTATCTGCTAGGTTACTTGTCCCCTGATTGTCCTTACAGCGTATGCATCATGTCTCAACATGAATGCTTCCAATTCATATCTGATAGATTAATTTCAATGTTATTGTAAGAGGCCTCCCAGTTTCTATGTGGGTTAAAAGGTATTTTAATGTGCTGTGTTTTTTGCCAAAACCAAAGACAAAATGTTTAATGTGAAAACAAACCATACGGAAAAAATGAATGAAAATAGCCAAACAGGGGTTTTTTTAAAACAATATTTTGGCCCAACACTGCAATGCAAAAACAATGCAGTTTACTTAGCATTACTTGTGCTGTAAATAGGACACCAACTGGTAAAGGATTCTGAAATTTTCTAAGAAACTTTTAACCTTTGAGCCAGTTTTTAATGTAGGTAACCATCAAGTGCATCCCACGGATGGTTTAGGTGTCAGAGCGTACCTTAAAAAGAATACCAACTTGACAGTTTAAGATTACAGTTGCTGTTGTTGTGCAAGACAATAAAACAGCGACGCATCATCCCGATCAGCATAGTGCAAATAGAGAAGGAACTGTTTAGTAATAGCTCAAAAAGAAAATATATTAGTAGATTAAAAACGGTATGTATAGATATGATAAATGGACTTGAGCTTGTATAGCGTTTTTCTAGTCTTCTGGCTACTCAAAGGTCACACCTACACATTCACACCCTGATGGCAGCAGATGCTATGTTAAGTGTGATCAGAATTAAGTAAATTTGGTGTTGAGTGTCTTGCCAAAGGACACATGGGACATGTTGCTGCAGGTGCTGGGGATCAAACCCTCGACCTTACAGTTAAGACACGACCGACTCATAGCGTATTCCATTATCTCGATGGATATCGTCAGCTGTTAAACTGCCACTTTAATTTCAATATTTGGAGAATAACTCCATGTCCAATGGAGCTTATGGAGAATCTTGGAGATGATAAAAACAGTATTTACAGGCTGAACTGGATGAAGACAAAAACATGATTTGAAATGGATCTAAAGGAAAAAAAACTTGCTCATAAATTGACATCAACTGTGATGTTTCTGCATTTCTAGGACTAGTGATAGATGTCTGAAGCTCATCTAGCTTCTTGTCCTTTAGTAAAAGATATGCTCGTTGTGATACAGTCCTAGAGTTCGGATGTCAGTAGTTTGTAACTTGTAAAGCTACTATTAGCTTTAATTGGCTAGCTGCTGTGTCTACTGGTTAAATCTGTTAATGATGGTTGCTGTTGAACAAAAATCTAAATATTTTCATGAAAAGCTAAATTTCCAGTTTTACATCTCTGATTTATGTTTTTAAAAAATAACCAAGAGTTTCAATGGGAAAACTGCCATCATTATTTCTGTTAACTGAATATGAACCATTTAAACACCTTCAGCAAAAAATGAATTAATCCTACACGCCTGTATTGCCCAAGCAGCCCGCTGTAGAGCATTCTCCTGAATCTTAGACCACTGCTGTCATCCAGAAACCATTAAGAACTCATAAAGAGCCACATTTATGTTATTCATAGCGTATTCCATCATCTCAATGGACATCGTCAGCTGTTAAACTGCCACTTTACTTTCAATCTTTGGAGAATAACTCCACGTCCAACAGAGTTTATTGAGGAGCTTGGAGATGCAGATCCACTTTTACAAGCTGAGAGGCGTTACATTAGAATATGGCATCCAATGCAACAATTCGACTCTTTTCTGTACTGTTAACAGCTTTTTATAGCTTTACTTGTTAGAAGAATTGATTAATTTCTTGTTTTATGACCCAATTATTTTATTTCATATGCAGGTATCCCACTAGTAAAGGAGGATTTCTGTTGCTATACAATGTCTCATTGGCTCTCATGAAAACAGTTTGTCTTTGTCATCCAGCGGAGCTCCACACTCCATCTGACCTTTGTCCTGCATGGCCGTGCATGTGACATTTGCTTGAGGCTTTTTAATGTGGGAGGCTGTCTGATGTTTGCCGTGACTGTTATTCCCCTGTCACCCAGAAAAGCTCACTTATTCCCCCCCCCCAACCCCCCCCCCCTTCCTCTGCTTTGACTCTACACTCCTGAGAATATCCCACTGGGAGGCACATTTTCAATTCATTGTTCCCCAGGGTGAATGTTTTTCCTCACCACAACAATTCAGCGGTGTTGACAGGCAGCTAAAATGTACACCGTCAGATTGTGAGAAAAATGTTTTACCTATTAGGTTACGGTTTATTTGAATTTGGATTTATCCTGAATTTATATTCAGCTACTGTTAGCTACTTTTTAAAAATATTTTGGCTAATTCAGTAAAAGGTAAAAATGCACGACATGATGTGTATTAAAATTAAACATCACTAGTTTAAAGGTGCATTCACACCTTATAGCTGTTCGGTCCGTTTAAAATGAACTCTGGTGCACTTTGTCAAATAGTTGTTTGGTTTGGCGCAGTGTGAATGCTCAAACCAACTCCGAACCGAACTCTGGTCTGCTTAAAAACTTCCAAGTGCACCAGAGTTGGGTTCGCTGTAAATTAGAACGCATTCCGGAACAATCAAGGGAAGCTAACCAAAAAGTAATGCATTATGGGTTGAATTTGGCCGTCTGTAAACAATGTCACATAGGTTTGCCGAGCGTGGCTAACGTTAGCATTGCTAACAACACCAGCCTTCAGTCCTCCTTGCTAAGTGTGGTTATACATCGCTCGGGTCGATATGCCAGTTTTACCTGACCAGTCTACACATGACTTTATCAACATTTTAGAGATAGAAAAACACGGCTAAACTGCGCCGCGCTACAGGTGCCATTCTTCCACTGGACTGTTGTTTACTTTCGGGTCATAGTGCAGCGTAAGGCTGGATGGCTGTAGCCACTGGGGGCAAAACTAATCGTGTCATGGCATTAGCAGTAGCTCTTGACCTGTAAATTGTACCCTCTAAAAGACGAGTAAGATTAGTCCATACTTCCCATTGTTGTTGACAAAGCTGATATCAGAGGTCACTCCCCTTCTTTATTTAGATTGGTTGGTGGTTGATGAGCGCGGTAGTGTCCAAAAGTTGAAGTGAGAACGCAGCGACAAAAACATCTGATGTCGTTTGTATTTTGTGATTAGGATGATAAGCCCTGAACAATAAAACACTGAGCAGCGTTGGTTTCGTATCGATATGTACACTGCCAGTGCATAAAATGTCCTTTGTGGACACGGGCCCCAAATCTGCTTTTCCTATGACTTAAAGACAACATGTTGATTCTTAAATGGTGATGTTGGAATTTTTACATCAACACTTTAACAAAATACAGGAAATACCAAGTCAAACAAAGCCAATTATATTTATACATCTCAGAACACAGAGAACGCCATCTGTCTGGTTTGACTTTGTTTTATTCTTGAAGTCAAATCAGAAATATTACACAACGAAGAGCTCAGACTAACTCCGACTGAAGAAAGGTTTGTGTGAGCAGAGAAATCTCACTGACAGTAAAAGTTGCACAAGGCTAAAAGCCAGACTGGAGGAAAGGAAGTACTTTTAGTTTCTTAGCAACTTGAGTCCAAGGAAGGAGGGAAATTATTTAAACACATCGTTATCATATGATGTCATTATTCATTACTGTGTTCAATAAATGTTACAAACAAAGCTGCTGTAGTGAGGTGATTCATCACCTGAGCCCTTTTTTTATCACTGAATCTGAAGGTAAAAAACTTTTTGACATTATGATAACCTTTCTGAATGAAAGAAACTGGATATGAGTTCACCTTTGTCCTCTCACAGTTCTGTCAGCAGACTGCAGCAGTGACCTGACCCTGTCCCCAGAGGAGAGGGTCCCCATGCGAAGGTCCAGCGACCGGGAACAGGACCGCAGGAGCACTGGAACGTGCTTCCTGCTCGCTGCTAGTGACTACACCTGCCCTGCAGACGGAGGGCTACGGAAAACAGGTAACTGCACTCACCAGCCTTTCTGTGTATCTGAAGACAAGCTTTAAAGAAACAGATTAATAGATCATGTCATTTATTGAAAATAGTCTTTTAAGTCGTCTTACAGAGTCATTCTGAAATTCATGCTTGCTGCTGTGCATTTAAAATGATTCATTTTGAACTCATTAGTCATCGTTTATAAGTGTGGGGAAGGGATTTTCTGTGAACACTTTTTTTTTTCAGTGTGTTGAATGTTTTCTGAATCGACAGTCAGAGAAGCTAAAATCTTTGACTTTTTCTTACAAACATAGAGATGACACATGTCAGAGCATTTCTTATTTTAAAGGGGGATCCAGTATTTTTTTATAATGCCTTGCTTTTGCATGTTTGGTGCTAGAATGACTAAAAGGTACACCAAGTTTTTGGATTTGTTTCAGTAGAGATCTTCAGCTGGCAGCCTCAGAGCGGGCTGTGACCCCTGTGACAATAAATGCGCCGACTTATTCAGTACATCTGCTAAAATTGTTGATGTTTTTGACACAGGCAGCCTCAGATTCTTATTGTAGGTCATCAGATCCCATTTTTAAAACCAGAAATACCCATTACTTCGATCTCTTTAAAGTCACCAGACTCCATTGAGACGAACGGCTGTTTAAACCTTGCAGAACATGGGACTAGCTGGTCTAGTGAGGCCTCAATCAGCCAGTTAGTTTGTGGTATTTCACAACTTCCAGTAAGTCCCACATTGTGCAAAAATAGAAATCACTGTTTTTGTCAATGGAGTCTGGTGGCTTTGAACAACAATTTTATCAGACACCTAAAATTACAACCTGAGCCTGTCAGTGGCAACAACAAGAAAACAAGAACTTAAGTGGACATTTTGATCAGGTACATTTGCTCTGAGCAGCCATTAAAGCCTTAGTTGCTGCTGCCAGCTGAAGTTTGAAGAAACCCTACTTTTTTCCAAAAAAATGTTGCACCTGTTGGAATTCGAAATACGTCAAAAGAAGGTTCCGGTTTAAAGCTGGATTTGCCCTTTAAGAAAAGATCTTGAGAACAGAGACATCAGTCTGAATCCTCATCAGCTGATCCGTATCCGTAGCGACTGGACACCAACATCCCTGGAGGGGGAAGGCGCTTTGTTCAGGCCTAGTCAGATCAGGTAATGTAACCTGTGTGTCTGCTGTCACCGCTCTCTGCAGTGACAAACTGTTGTTCAGGCGGTTCTGAGGATCAACAGTGTTAACGCAGCCGACTCAGAACTGCTGCTTTCTCTGCAATTTATTCATGTTTTCTGTTGCCTGGAAACACTTGAATAAATGCCTGACCCGTTTTTTGGCTGATTCCAGGATCATTGTCCGTCTACAGCTCCTAAACAGCATCACCAGTGTATCATCAGCCCTCCGGTGATGATACACCAGCTGAACTTTTAACTATCTGACACTTAGAGGAGTTTAAACGGTTAGAGAAACACATTTGAATCCCATCGACCCTGAAAAAATATCGACTTATCCACTGACTTCTTCATTGTAAGAGGCCAACAGCAGCTACTATTTAGTTGGGGGAAAAATCTGAGTTTTCTTTGGTAAAACATTTGGAGCCTTGCGTTACGGTCTCCTCAACCAAAATTAATGAACCCAAGGCTCAAATATAAAAAAACATATAAGAAAGGCACACAGATTGAAAGTTGAACTGAAACATTAACAAAGAAGAACAGTACCCCCCTACCCCCATCCCACTCTACAACCAAACAGAAAAAAAAAAAGAAGAAAGAAATATATATATATATATATGTATATATATATATATATATATATATATATATATATATATATTATACATAATGTACCCAAAATGCAAAATATACATGAAAAAGACAAAAAAAAGAAAAGAAAAAGCACACACACATCATCTGTATAGTAATCTAAATTACACATTGCTATGGTCATCCTTTTCTGCAATTATACTGTGTGACTGAAAAGCAAAGGCACACATGGCCTATGTGGTCATCTGACAAAACTTACATACTGATAGGGCCGTGATTGGTTGTCATGTCGCTGTGTACTCTGCTGATACAGGATGTGAGATCGAAGCTGAAATTCAGCCCGACTTCAAAATCAGTTCAGAAACGGCCTCAGATTCACACCGTGTGTGCCCGTCTTGAAGTGCAGCTGTGCTTATTTATTTACTAATGAAGAAGTCAGTGGTTGACCTGAATCCTGTTCACATTTTTCATAATCACGCTGTGTCTTCATAAATTTGTTGTCAGAGTAGTCGTAGGGTTTCGGGGTGCGCCTGCTGGTCATGGCAGTCTTGTATCAATGTCTCGACGGAAAGGTCAGACCCATGAAAAAAGCTCGACCTTCACAACACTTTGACCCAAGATAAATCAAGGTGATGTCTGCTGAACGACTAGAAAGCCTTGTGCCTGTTCCTCGTGTTCAAAGGCAAAAAAAAAAAAAGTCAGGAACTATAAAGGTATAAACGTGGCTGTTCGCGGAAAATGAGGTCACACAGCGGCTCATTTCAGAGGCGCTCCCTGCAGACGAGAAATCCTTATCAGCCTCTTCTTGACCACATTATGAAAATGTTTAGACTCTGTGTGAGGCCTGAAGCGTGGTTGTTGGATTAAATCCTCCATTTTATCTCAGGCTTCTTCAGGCAAAATCGACCTAATCTGCACTGTAATGTGGAAGCTTTAAGCCTCGGATAATTACCTTCTATCAGAAGTGAATCTAAATGTCCTGCTCACTATTCTCACTACAGTAGCCCAAACAGAGCTATCAAACAATTAGCTCCCTTTATATTGAATTTTTACCCTTATCAAATAAAGAGATGATACTTATTTCAGGGATACCTTTCATTCTTAAAGAACTATAGAATAAAACTTAATCTTAATTGTTGATATAGAGATAGACTAGCAGATTTTACCACTGTCGACATGGACTACATCCAGTCCCCCTAAATGGATGTAGTCCATGGTGGTCTCTCCAGGCCATCTCAATAGAATAGAATAGAATTACTTTATTGATCCCAAAATGGTAAATTGTGTGTTACAGCAGCAGGTTATCAAAGCAAATAAAAACAATATAAGAATAGATACATAAATAAGCACTTAGAATATAAAAATGATAATAAGAATATAATATAGAATAGGAAGAGATTTATACATCAAGGATTTAACTAAACATTCCTACTGGTTTAAAAAAAATGAAAAATGAAATACAACATTTATTCAGGCGAATAACCAACCAGTCTTGTTTCCCAACGCCGGCCGAGCAGCTGTGCATCGTCTCCGCCCGCTTCAGTTGGCCGTTACAGTCGCCGCTAATGCATAAAACATCAGGTCCTTTCTAGTCCCTGCTACCCTGTTGGCGTGGACCCACAGGCTGCCCCTTTGTTGTGCTGCTCGGCTGGTTTCTGAAACCGCCCCGCTTTAATTCACACCTCGCCCCTGAAACAAACCGAGGCCGTTTTGTAGAATGGTAATGAGGTCATTTTCCATTCGCTGTTCCTCATCAGTGTTTACGCCGGCTGATTGGCACGCTCCATTAATGATCTGGCTGCTTGGGCTTGTTGCTTGTTTACTTTGACTGAATGCTAATTCGGCCAGCGTGCATCACATGAAGTGTTGTAAAGTGTGATTATACAGATTGATGAAGGTTTTTGTAATCATCCTCATCATCATCAGTATGTGCAAGCTCCAGTCTGAGTTGATACTCCAATATAAACTGCCTGTTATATCTGATATTTAATGTGCATGTTGTTGATCTTAATATGT